TCGAAATTGGAGCTCGATCAAGAATATATTTTAAAACGCAAAGATCCTATTGAAATTGAAGGAGTCGTATTAATTATGAATGATGGAAAAGAGTGGGCTATTTTATATGAGAATTTATCCTATTTTTGGAATCTTAATAATGACTGTGTAATATTTATTATTGCTAAAATTCATTATGCATGCCTCAGTTCCGTCGCTGTAATGCAAGATATGGCCAAATCAAATTTTGCTAAATCTTTTTTTATTTGTATGGAACCAGAATTATCTGAACCAGTTATTTATTCTCATGACCTTTATGGAGACACTAAACCATTAAATTGGTTAAAAATTCAACAAAGTCCAGTAATGTTATACAATTGGACATTATATGAACGGATTATTGATAAAAGTAATTGAAGACAATCCTATAATATGACGGGAATATTTTTACAAACGCATACGGAAAAAAAATTACGTAAAAATTACCTTGCAATTCAGAGAGATCCGGGTAATAGGTTGAATTCTGCCTTACACAAGAGGAACTTTTACAAAACAGAAGAATAAATTTTACCATCTAGTAGGGTAAATTTTACTGTTTGTGCAGGGTACCCAGATTACCCTGAATTACAGGATAATTTTTATTCAATTTTTCTTCCCATGTAGAAAGAGAAATTTATTTTTAGGCTTTCGATACAGAGTGGATTAATTAATAATTTTTTTTTATTAGCCAGATTGTAATTAATTAATTGGAAGGATAAAGTAGAACATTTCGTCAAAATGGATAGTTCAAAAAAACTCACTAGTTTATCAAAATAAGCTCGAGAACGAATCTTGTGCTTTCATTGCGTCAATTTGTTAATTTATTAATGTGCTAAAAATAATCAAAACTTGTTAATATATTGATTACTTTGTTAATATACATTTTTTCTTCACGTTCCACTTTACCTGCGCGCCTCTCCCCCCTTCGATAGTAATAATAAATTATATTCAATTATTTAAATTATTATTGATTTCAGATGAAGCATACAATGGATTTCATTTCAATCGCACTGACATACTTAAAAATCCTCGCATCATGATGTATGTATTTAAAGAAAGTGAAGCAAAAGAAGAACGGAGATTTTTATATGAAGGCGATCCTCGTAATTTACATGGGATTGCTCATATCGATGAAATGATTTCATTTAAGCGAATATTAAACATGAGCTTTGTTTACGACGTACATTTTTTTCAAATTGGAACTTATAATCGTAACCGACCAATGGTAATATTTAGGAGAACTAATGTTAGTGTGATAATTAATGATATCGTAGGTTCCAGCCTGCTCCGTTCTCGAATACTATCTTATCCAACATATTATGACTATTTTATAATATTATCAAGAGCTCAAAATCCTGCGACGCCATTGGAAAAAATAGCAGATTTTTACGGAATTTGGACTCTAATTTCATTGCTATTTATTTTGATACTTACCATCATTGTTATATGGCTTAAAGCTAAAAAACAATTGACATCAGCTCTTTTTGATAGTCTAAGATTATTAATTAATTCAGGGATTGTAACACCTATTAATACTTTACCGCTTAAAATTTTTTTTTCTATGATTTTCCTGTATTTTATTGTTATTCATTCAACATTCAGTGGACAACTTTCAAAATTTCTTACAATCCCAGCATATTTGGGAAATATAGACTCATTAGATGATTTGGTTCAACCACGAGTAAAAACTGTTCACAGTTTTTTTTTTACTTTAAATGATGAGCTTAGTAATTATGAAGCTATTGCGAAAAAATATGTTCCTCAAGAAATTGCAAGCGTGTGTTTTCAATTAGTTATAAAAAATCCAAATGACGTTTGTATTGGAGTGTACTGGTCATTTTTAAGAACAATTTTCTATAAGAATTTGACAGGTTATTACATAAGTAAAAAGAAAATTTCTCCATTAGTAGGACGTATGCAATATCTTCGGCGTTTTCCGTTGGTAGAAAAGTTTGATTGGGCTTTGATGGCTCTTTCAGAAACTTGTATTTATCATCGTAACAGTAAAATAGAAAATGAAATGATATTAGAAAAATTAGAACGTATAAACGCAAGAAAACAGTTCGATTTTCGTTCAATATCTTTCAGTGACCTGAAATTTGCTTTCATTTTATTGATTATAGGAAATAGTATATCGTTAATTCTTTTTTTTCTTGAATTATTGACATTCCACTATGAGAAGATTATGAAAAAAATACAAAGTTCATGGCAAATGGTTAAAAATAGAAAAAGATTTGGACGCAGACGATTTCGAACTATTCAAGTTCAACCAATAATATAATCATTCTTTCTACAAATAGTGTTTTAACATTTTATTGAGTGAAAAGTCTGCTATTTTGTTGTGCATAATAGATTAAGTATTAAACACGATTTACGCTATATCTTGATGGTGCCGTCACAATAATATTACAGAGCCCTTAGAAGGATACATTAATGAAATCTCAAAGACCTGCAATATGATATTAATATCAAATAATTTTGCTTGATTCTTATTACTCATTTTTTTCAATACCACTTGAAGATTTTCAGTAAATCAGTCTTATTAACAGACTTGTGTAAAAGAAAAAAAAGTGAAATTTTCGAGAAAATTTTTATATTTATAAGAACTAAAAATTGTCAACAGTTGTTAATGTATTAATAATTTTGGTGTACTTTTTCTTTGTGTTCCACTTCCCCTCTTCTGCCCCTGTATTTAAAATTGAATGATAATTAAATGTAATCGTCACTTTACGCGATCACTGCAAATCCAGGAAAATTCAAATGTTCAGTGATGAGTTACTGAAAGTGTTTAATAATTAAATACTTAAGTGTTTACAATGTGGAACGTCATAAACAAACTATAACACTTCGGTAAACGTCGAGAAGCGTTTAAAAGTCGTCTACAAAATTGCCATAGTTCGTTTATAATGTTTAACATTGTCAACACTTTAAGTGTTTAGTTGCTAAATACTGGGATTTTTAGTGATCTCATATTATTAAACTAAGTTTGTTTGTTACAATTATTCCTGTTTATCTGTTATAATGAGTTTCTGTAATGTCAACATCGGTGACAAAATACATTTTTCTCTGTTTCTGTCAATTTTAAGTAAAATAAAATAAGTATGTATAAATGATTGATATATATTAAGAATAAGCCCAAGTCAAAAAGTTTCTCCAAGTTGATTCGACACCTTCGCGATGTGCAGTGGAACGTCAAAGCTCGATGTCAACTAAAATTGAGTAGGTAACAGGGAAGTCGTTCGAAAGATGATAATCTTCCAGGATGCACTGAAAAAAAGAGCGTTGGGGCACCGAGAAATAGACAAATTTCCAAATCGTCAGTTCCAAGTAAGACAGAGCAAAGAATATACCTATCCGTCTCCGTCCAAGTTATGAAACCATGGTCGGAAAATTTCTCAACGAGTTATCAAGGTCAAAACTCAAAGAAAAGATAAAAAATCAACCACCCTTCGGCTTTCGACTTCTATAACTCGTAAAAACATTGCCCTGCAGCACTTGTTGAGGAGTATTTAGAAATTTTAGAATCTGAGCTAAAGATACATATCCATAAAAAACCTCGAAAAAATTTATTTCATCCCGAACATTGCAAAAATATTCAGTGAACTTTCTGAAAAAGTACGTCTTCTTCTGTATTTTTGCGATTTCAGGGGTGAAATAAATTCTTTCAAGGTTATTTATGGATATGTACGGTTAGCAAAGATTCTAATGTTTCTAAAACGTTCCCAGAGTGTTTTTGGACTTACCGTTTAAGAGTTATTGAGGATCAAACTCTTTTCTGTTTTTAAGAGTCATCTTGTCGTTGAAGGACGGCAAATCAATACATAATTATTCAATTTTCTTTTTAATTTTTCTATTAAAAAATTAATTCGATAATCAAAATTGCTATCTAGCACACTGCATCATAAAACAAGCTCCAATTTGGGACCAAAATGTTCGAATAAAAACATAAGTTCGCGGAGAAATTACAAACCTACGATTCAATGTATTGAGATAGGGGGAATCAGTCGCCTCCGTGATTTCAGCCCAGCCTTAATTCAGATGAATAAGTTATTGATGGTATATGCGAAAATGCATGCCCTTTATTATCGATGCATGATGTAAATATGAGAAAACCTTCTTACTGATTGTAGTTATTATTTTTGTATAACGCGATTTATCAGCTGCAGTCAGTAAATTAATTTTATTGCACTCTATCGATAAATAAATGAATTCAAAAATTTACGAATCTATCATATAAAAATAAATAATATTCTGAATTCGTTTTACTTCTACTATTTTATTTCTTTTAAAAAACTTTATATTAAATTCCAATGAAAGTATAATTTTTTTGAATGGTTTCTATTGAATGAAATTGTTGTATAAATTTATCATTTCTCATAAATTTATTACCCTATACATTTTCATTTGCTCAATCTCTTCGACTCTAGATGCAAGTTCATGCGTTCCTGTTATTTTAGCTTTTCGTAGAATGTTACAGTAATAAATAGTAAAAAATATGCTATAATAATGTTGTAAAAACAACTTTTATTATGTAAATAATTAGGAAATATCGTTGGAAATGTACAAGTATCCGAATTTCATGTATATGAAGAGTTAATACACCGAGTATTGTCATACGAGTAAGCAAACTTGAATATTTTTACAATTGAAATCATTCATGATTTTAATAGTTATCACAATATTAAGCTGAAAAATGTGACATTTGACGATAAACTTTAGAGTTTATCAATTTTCATATATTGAATAATAAAGTTGATCTCTTGACATAAACTATTAAACAATATGAATTAAAAATACTATTACATCAACGGTTTAATGTACTTGTTTTTTTTTACATAATTATATATTTATTCATAAAATTTTTTAAACTAATTGATAATATTAAACTATGAAGAATAATTTACTAATATATATTCATGTTGAAAATTAAAAAAAAATACAATTCTTCCACAATGATTCAAATGCATTTTATTCATTTCAAATTATCCTAAATAAAAAATTTGCTCATTGGGTAGTTTTGGACAAATAATTTTTTTCTTCATTCTGACTTCTTTTTTCGGAGGAATTGGTTCAGGAATTTTCGCAGGCGGAAGCAATCGATTTTCTTTTTTGAAATTCTGGAATTTAAGACAAAAAAGATGACAAGAGATAAATTAGGAAAAGAGAGGGTAAAGTGTAACGTAGGAGAAAAGTGAAACGCTCGAAAAAATTTACTAATTTATTTAAAAAATTTTAAAACACTTCTTGCGTTTTTTTGTTTATCAATTAATCAATTTATTAATGCATTAGAAACTCAACATCTTTTACTATATTGGTTAATTTGTTAATTTCCTTTTTTTCTTGTGTTTCACTTTTCCCACACCTTCCCTTGCATAAACCAAAAAAAATTTTTATTACTTGAATAGTCTTTATAATGGGAAATAAGGGTCTAACTCCTTTCGACTCATTGAAAACTTCTTGACCATAAGCAAGAATCTGTTCATTCATTTTTTGCAACAGAACTTGATTATAAATTGAATCGTCATTTCGTGTTCGCTCTTCTTCACGTTCTTTCCTACGTTCATCCTGCAATCAGTTTATTCTCAAATCTATGTTCATTAAATCTACTTACAGACTTAGCTTTAGAGAAATTGATCATTTTTGTCATCTTAATATTAATTTACCACTTGTTTCTTTAGTTCATTAGCCATATCCATTTTTTTCTTCCATTCTCGTTCTGTTTCTTCCAATTTCATCTGTATATTAAATTCATCTCTTTTAATCCTTTGAAATGTTTCCCAAGCAAGTCTATTTTTTTCTTCTCGTTTATTCTTTTCTTTCTGTTTCTCATATTCTGCTTGATACCTCAAAAGTTCTGCTCGCATTTTCTCTTCATGATCTTTCTTTGCTTTTGCTTTCTCTAATTCTTTCTTTTCGTTCTCATTGATAGCTTTTTCTAGACGATTTTTTTCATCAGTTTCATCATATTTGCAAATGGCAGCACATCTTTGAGCTAAAATTAAAAAAATTTTTATTAATATTACATGCCACTCATCGTCCAATTTTTCGTAATATTATTGCAATATTTTACCCATTAATTCTGATCGTTTTAGTTTTTGATCTTGCATTTCCTTCCACTTTTTTTGAGTGAGTTCAGTTAGATGTTCCTTAGCTTTTCTATAAGCCTCTATGGAATAATTTTCGTGTTCTTCTTCTTTCTTTATTTCTTCTTGATGACGTTTCTTACTTTCTAATGATTCTACAAACATTGCTTGTAATTCTTTTCTTTTCTTTATGAGCTGGAAATTTTTTTTTTTTAAAAACAGTGAATATCTTACTGAGCAACAGGAAAACATGAATCAGAATATAAACGACGATTCCTATTGAAATGAGTATTACCTCTTCAGTATTACGTTTTTCGAGAAGATTCAGTTCTTCGATTAAATTGTGTAAATTTTCTTTATCTACTGCTCGTTCTTGTAATTCTATTTGTTTACTGTAAGATCCACATTGGCTAATCCTAGAAAATTTTTGATAGATTTATAATTGATAATAAGAGTTACTTTAAATGAATTAAAAATAATATACTGTTTAGTTAAGTCATCACGATATTTTATCATTTTTTTCCATCGATCTTGAATTTCTTTCTGCTCTTTTTGACGATTATGTTCTGCTTCTTCTTTAATTTTTTCTATCCATTTATTTTTCTCTTCTTTTTCCATTTCTTTTAGCATTTTATTGAACTCCAATTGAGCATTCAGTTCTCTGAAACACTATAATCATTTGATTAAATTTACATGAGGTATACATTATTGAAAATATTTTGTATAATATAGTTTACTTCCGAAGCAAAAAGAGCAGAATTAATTAGTCTGCATTGTGGTTTTCTATACATTAAAAGCTTACGAGCTTCTTTAACAATTACAGCACGTTCCGCTGCATTTTCTTCTGTTAATTTTTTTATCAATTTTATTTTTTCTTCTTCAGCTTTTTTTCTTCTTAATAATAATTCATTTCTTCTTCTCTTTTTTATATTCACCACAGTATTATCCCAATCTTTTATTAATTCATAAGAAATTTTTTTCAAATCTTGTAACTTTTTAGCTTTATTTTCTGCTTCGATTGCTAATCTTTCTGTTTCAGTTGCATACTCAATAAAACGATTATAAGTATTTTTAGGAAGATATAATGCTAATTGTTTTTTTGTATTCTAGAAAAGAAAAATAAATAATTATTAAAACATTTTTACTGGACTTGTTAAATAATTTTTTCCTTTAAAAGATGACGATAAAACCTTGGTATTTTGACATAACTGATCAGTTTTTATTAATGAACAAGAATTCATATCTTCTGTTGAAATTTATCACTTCTTAATACACTCAATGAAATCCAATGTCATAATAAATTTATCATAAAATTAATATCATCAAATCTAGCCAAATAATTAAAAAAAAAACTCTCTTCTATTACAAAATTGTTAACTTGTTACAAGAGTGCAGGCGGTGTTTCTATAGCAATGAGTAACAGTTCTGTTTTATCATTTGTTGCTGCATCCACAATCCAAAACAATAACATTCATAAGTTAAGTAGATTTCTATTTGATGTCTTAAAGATATATTATTTCATATATTTTAGAAGAGATGGCAGATATTTGTAAATCTGTTGGATTTCAATGATACAAATGAACATCATTTAATCGGATCATATAAATATTCATCTCATACATATATACACACAATTAAAAACATTGTTATTGAAATACGAGTTATATATATTTCTAAATAGCCTTGAAGGATCGTTGCACCATCGTGTTACTTATTATTACAGACCATTGAACTCTGTGGTAAATCCGTGTTATCTATCATTTGATACCTTTTGAACTGTAACATGAAAAAATATTATTTCAGCTAATTTCAATATAGGAATTACTGGAAAAATACTTACAAACTAATAGAAATTTAAATTTCATAAATTTAAAGAGAGTAAAAAAAAAAGGAATTATATGTAATTGAACAGCTTAATGTAGATGTTAGGTTTAGTTCTAAACGCAAGGTTACAGCGGTCGTTAGGTCAGCAACACTACGACCTCCCTTCATATGTCAAGGCACTTTTGCCACTCTTCATTCCTATATCATCCCTCCAATCTAATTTTTTACGCTTTTTTATCATTTTTTTCCTCAAAAACTTACAGATTACTCCATATAAGTATTTTAAACTGATGATCATCTGAAGATAAATGATTGAAATATCATGAGTTTCATTTTTCAAATTCGTTTATGCCAAATAAACTAATTTCTATATGTGAGATATTTTCGACAGTTTAACAGCATAATAAAATATTAATCAATTTATTTGTTTCGAAAAAACATTTCAACTGATATAATAAATCTGAAATCACTCAATCACATTTATCTTGAAGATAAAAACTTCAATGAAAGGTTGTAAATTAAATTTTGCGAATAAATTAATTACATTTTTTAACTAATAGTTTTTTTTTTTAATAATATTTATCAGTAAATAGAATTCTACATTACGCAGTTGAAGTTGTTTCGTATCGCAATAAATTTAATTTTAATTTATTTTAAATAAAAATTTCATGTTATTACACAAACCTGTCATACTGTCATTGAAAACTGATAAATATAAATCTCAATTAAAATTTTTATTTTGTTTTTTCGAGATCTGAAATTCATGTTTATATTGAAACATTCTGATATTTATATGCTAGAAATAGTAAAAGTTTAACTTAATAATATTTTTTTGTCGTCATTTATTATTTTTAAAAAATATTCAACTTATTTCATGTATTTTATCATTGTACTTGCTTTATTTCTTAATTCTTGATTAGAATCTTACAAAATAACTTGTTTTCCTTCAGTTTTATGCGATATAAAAAAACGTGTAACTCGTTAGATTTGTACACATTTTTTTTAACAAAACTAAACTATTTCGAATAAGATAATTTGAAATTTTATTCCATAAAATATAACAATAGAAAAGGAAAAGCATACTGCTCTTGTTAAATTTAAAAGTGTTTTATTTCAATACACTTAAAGAGTTTTAAAACTGATTAAAATGTTAATCAAATGAATGACGTGATATTAAAACACATTAAGTGTGTTAAAATGAAATACTTCACTATTTTCAGTGTAATTTCTTTTATTGCATGATAGTATTTTTTTCTCTAATAATTGCTAAATATAGAATGTTAAAAGTGCAATGGAGGGGGTGTCTGGGCAACCCTTTTACATGTAAGTCTGCTCAACTGGTTCTGAGCTAGCAAGCTGAATAGCGTTGGTTGGTTTTGCAACCCTGATCCTTTGTGAATGTAACCCATGTTGTGTACGGCTTATTAACTTAGAATTTAAATCAGCAAAGACATATTCCATATGACCACACTTATAATATGCTTTTCCAACATAAACTCATTCAGGCTCTAAAAAGAATAAACAAACATGATTTTGAAAAAAATGTATTCAGAATATGAATTGGGTATGAAGAAGAGACAAAATATAACATTGAATACAGTCAAATTACTTAAGACGAATTTTTAAAATGAGTATATAACGTGACATTATCTAGAAGTATTCTAGTGTAGGTGGTTCAGCAGTGCTTTATCTCCACAAGCAAACGGGGTTTGCACCCCATGGCACGTCGAAGTAGGGTTCTAGAAGCAAAGGAAATATGATGGAGGGAGAATTGTCTGCTGGAGGGGGTGTCTGGGTCAATCCCCTCCATGGTCTAGAGGTTCCCAATTGCAAACGCATTTCCTGGGGTTCGCAAATGTTGCTTTTTATTTCCTGAACTTTTCCAGAGTTTCTCGGTATTTTTCACCAACTCAATCTCAACATTTTTCATTATGAACATTCAACTAGATAATGAAAAGTTAATGAAAGCATAAAAATCCATTGAGAAAAATGTTTATTTTCTAGATTAACACAAGACTGAAAGTAAATACATGTTTTACAGTAACGACTTTATTTATTTGAAATAGTAAATGTTAATGACCGTTACATGAATGATGCAAATGATGTGTTTTATGACTAATAAAATCCAAGAAAAATGAAGGGAGTAGCATAAAAGTGGCACAATTGGTTCAGTGGGGCGGTGGCCCCACGTCCTTGGAAGGGGACAGTGATCTTTATGGCTGACTCAAATGCACATGGTGTCCCATACTGTAGCCTATATACATTTATGCGAATGTTATTTTGCGCTTCTGTATGAGTTGTGATGACTACCCACTACACAACTCGCTTCGGTATTTTACTCTAAGCAAAATTCACTTGTACTGAATAACCACATTGGTACCTATGTGATATATATTTATGCATACAAGTAAACGAGTCAAGCATGTAATCGCTCTCACTCGTCAACATATATACTTATGTTTCTTGTTCTCCTTCCTACACCGCAGTGTCACTTTGTATGCGTGTAATCATACTGTTTGTGTTGCGTTGCAAAACGACGCCAAGTGCGTTCACCCTGCAGCTCAGTGCGTCGGCCCTTCAGCGGAGCTCAAACTGCTTCCCATACTCATGTGCATCAAGTTCAAGCCCTTTGTTGCGTTATACAATTATCTAGTTGTTAATAATTCCTTAAATGCATTCTATAATTCAATTTTTTTCTCAATAATCATAATTTGCTATCAATTTACTATCTTTATTCTTCTTAAATAATTCAAATTTAAAACATAACTGATCTTTCAATGCAAGAAAATCGTTTTTTTTTTCAAAATATGCAGTGCAATTACTCTAGAAAAAGTGTCACATAATTTTGACTTGTTCAGATGAAATGACAGCTGGTAAATGTGTCGTGATGAACGTGATTAATAATAGCCAGAAAAGTTATTAACTGGTTCGTAGGTACATCAGTTGGGCGAATAAGAGAGAGGTGGAGGGATAGATTTGTCTAGGAATGGGATTGTTGGTACTCTTGGTAAAGTTGAAGTTGGAGTAGGTTAGCAAGGCAGTTCGTGGTTCATACCGGGTCACTGGCTGTCGTATATAATTACTCAAAGCTCTCAGCGAGTTAGTCGGCCTTTGGGCATTGCACTCGATGCATTTCTCGAGGGCGGTCCCGGGGTTGATGTACGCGGAATGCCAACGAAGCTAGCCGAAGGTTGACGAGATTGTCCGAGTTGTTACAAGTGAGGGAGAGAAAGAGAAAGAGATGTCAGAGGATGATGAGAAGAAAGAGGCGAGCTTTTACAGAGTTGTGGTGAGGCGCGCCTTCTTGCAGCTGCAACGGTCATTGAGTTCGATGCACTCGACTGCTGGATACTGCCGTATCCACGATATTACTGCACTCATGAGTCAGTTTGTTGGGATATGGCCTTGACCCGACGTTCAACGTCAGCTATACCTTTCTTATAAACATGTTCAGATTGAATGAGCATTGAAAATTTTACACTTATTCATCAGTTACGTATTAGGCTTAGTTTTAGCTATTTATTGTCTATTTGACGATCATTATACTGTAAAAATGATAAAAAAGTGTACTACAATACCTAATTTTTATAACTGAATGAACTCGATGTCTTCAGGAGAATGTGATTCAGTAGTAATGGGCATTGTTAATCAGACGAAGCTATATCTTAGTGTAGAAGAAAATAAAAAAATCAATTATGGTATTTATTTTTTGGAGAATTTTATACACATTCTATTTTGTTTTAAAATTATCTACATTTTGAATCATAAAGCTGTCAACTAATGTCACTTGAAATTCAAGTATTGAAATTAATTGAATTAGTCAATAATGTTATTGAAATTTTTTCTCTAAAAATGTTTGAACTCTTTTTTATAATGTCTAATTAAGAGCCAAATATAAAGATGAAAATAAGAAATTATAATCATTAATTCTCGATCAATTGTGATTATCTAATTAATAAAACATCATATTATTTATGATTACTTCGATATAATTTGAACTTAGCTTTCTTCACTTTTAAGGGAAAGTACGAAATAGACGATTTCACACACTTTTAACTAATTCATAATAATAAATAGAGTGGGAAATAGACACTGTAATCGAATACACAAAAACAATAGTGTGCGAAGAAAGTGTATTGTCCTCAGAGTTGAGTTCAATGGCTTGTCGAATACGCAAGACAAAGACTAAGAATCTCACCTCTCCTTCGGATATCTTTATGGAGCTACTCGTAAAAGAGTGTCGACGACATTGCTAGTGCGCCAAGGGTGTATGCATTGTAAAGGTCAACGAATCTATTATAGAATAACTTCATCACCTTGCTACTGCACCATGCAAATACTTCACCCACGAGTGATAATCCATTTAATTTTATTCATTAATTTAAAGACCCAAAACTATGATCATGCATTCAGCTATCGTTGAAGGTATTATATCATTTCCATGATAAATATTTTACTCGATTTATTTTTAATATGACAAAAGATAAATGATTAAAATAA